TAGGGCTGTTGAGGGCCTTAGAGTCAAGTTCCAAGGATTAAGGATCACTGAAGGTCCTACCCTTGAAGTAAACATGGTTAAAATGAATCAACACGCTGAAAGAAATAATGGCGAAATGCTATAGAAAACTATGAAAGAGTGCAGATTACCCGAAAGAAAGGAAACTAGAGATATGCAAAAACACCTTTGTGTTCGACAAGCATGGAGTTCCCAGAAGGCCAGACAACCATTATCCAAAGGCAAATTGAAGGGTGACCTTTAAGTCCGCTGCATATGTCCTAACAGACAAATGGGTGAAGCCAACATAAAATAGGGGGAAAGACCAAGGAAAATAGAAAAGTTTCGAGTTTGGAAGAGGTTCTTCTGTGGCCTATAGGAAAGAATTCCAAGTGTCAAAGAAACAAGCTGATAAGTGCAAAATTGTAGCTATTTTTGTATATACTTTTTGTTGCACTTATAGACTTTTTGTTGTTAATATCGTTGAATAATTCCCCGCTTTTTGTTGTAAATACGTTTAATTGCGTTTTGTGTACATATTGTATTGGTTAATTATTTTTGTATATGTTTTGTAGGTATTTGAGCATGGTTGGAGCAATGAGGAATAACAGCTCCAAGATGCATTTTTGATCAATGAATAATAAGGCTAAATGTTGGAGCCATAGGAAGTTATGCAGGAAAGCAACAAAAGTTGCTGGACTATCATGGATCGTCAGGCAAAAGAAGATGTCGCCGGGTGAAATTTGTAGGCCAAATTTCCTTGTTGCTTCTGCCTAGCGTCGCCAGGCGATGTGTATCTTCCGCCGAGCAAGAGAAAGATATTTTCCCCAATTGCATGTGTGGCGCAACCTGGGCCAAGTGTATAGAAGTCATCGCCGAATGACGCTTTTATGTCGCCGGGCGAAGCGTGCGGATCATAATTTTGTTATATCTTTCATTTCATTTCATTTGGAAGGGGATGGTTTTAGGGGGTGATTTTTGTTCTCCCAAATCCATCCACTTAATTTTTGTAGTGGATTAGTTTAGAGAACAACACTAGGACTTTGCTTATGGATGATTGGAGGTGGATTTCTCATTGACCGACACTGACAAACCAGAAGATTTATGGTTTATCTCTTCTCCTCTCTATGTATTTTTCTTTTGTTGGGTTTTATATGTATTTTACTTTGAACTAATGTATATTTGTCTCCTGTGGCGTTATATTAAACTTGATTTACAAATCTTTATGGATTATTGTCTTAGATTTTTGCTTTGTGCTAGGGATTTGAGTTGTTATAGACATATACTGCTTAGATTCTTATCTAGGATGATTATCTGTTAGTTTCTGAACTCTAGAGATAGATTTAGAGCTGACATCTACTTGGGTATCAGAGCTTATTTCCTTTATGTGGTTGTGCTTTGCTGAGAGATCGTCAGTGCAATTACATAATTGTTTTCTGTATTATTGAGGAGGTAGAGAGATCATTTCCTTGGTGATACAGTCGGTCTCTCGATTTGGGTTAGAAATGACTTAGATTGTGAGTGATACATAGTGACATTGATGAGTATTGTTAGGTTGAATGTAACTGGTCGATAGATTTAAGTCTGTGATGAGTAGATTATATGCAGGCTTGATAAGTTTTTCCTTAGTTTTAACTTTTGTTTACATTTATTTTCTGTTGATACTTTTTGATATCATTCAAACCCCAAACTCATTAACGAATGATTTGTTGAGCAACGATTCAATAACAAATCTCTGTGGATACGATATGATATAACCTAAATATCACCCATTAAATTAATAACTTAATTTTTGCTTTCCGCTATATACCGCAGTAACAAAATGGCACCGTTGCCGGGGATTGGTTTATTGTTTCGCATTGCGATAATTCCTTTGTTTTTGAGTTTTGTAATTAATGTATATGTTGTATAGAATTTGTACATGAACTTGTTTATGTTTAATTGTACATCTATCTGTATATGTTTACCAAACTTGTACATAGTTACATGTGTTCTATACTTGTATATTTTTGTTTCTTTTCACGTTTTCCAAAAGTGTGGTTAGATGTGTAGTTCCGGTTAGATCTCGAAGAGATGAAAGCAAAGGCGGGAGTAAAAGCATCTGGCTCATTCGAAGTAACATGTTGGTTTGTAAATGACATGCGTCAAGCTTATGACGTAAAACAAGCATGTTTTTATTGTTTTTCATTTTTTATTAGTTTAGGTAGTTTAATGCAATTTCCTAAACAAATTTAACTCAAACTAGTTCTTAAATTAAATATCTTCACTTTTAAATTTGTCTAGACAATTTCATTCGGTCTTTTAGTATGTGTATATTATTTGTATTCATTATTGTGTTTGTCTTTGAGCTTGTTGTGAATAGCTTGAGGATATTGAGGTGATTTATCAAGTTTGATCGTTTCGACTCGCGAATACGTGGTAATGATTTTTGTTAAATTTTTGTACACGTTCGAGGTATGTGTTTATTGCTTTCTATACTTTAGCATATTCATGATACTTAGACTTTTTTTACAATTTTTATGCCATTCATTATTTTGTACTTGTTAATTTGTGAATCATTTTAGTTCCCACCTTTTTGTGAGGTAGCTTTCTATTGTTCACATATGCTGGAGGCTGCAATTCTTGTTTTAACTGGATTTTATTATGTTTAATCTTTTTGTTTGTGTTGATTGTATAAAAGCTTGAACATGATCAAGACATTTTTTATTTCATTTTAAGCACAACTACCTAGCCAAATAGTCAATTCACCTTATGAGTGTGTGATCATTAGTAACCCCTTTGAGCTTTTTGTCAATATCCATATTGTGTTTGCTAAATTCCTATCTATGATTATTTAGCTCCCCTTTTTGCATAAATGTTGATTCGTTGTTATCTTGAACCCTCAACCATTGTTTTGGTTTGAATTTTTACCTTGTCTTAGAAAGTATGGAGTATTCACTAAGATGTTGGTTGGATTTTAGTTGGGAAAAAAATGATTGTGTATTTATTGGTTGATTGCTATGAGGTTGAAAAGAAAAAGAAAAGAAAGAAATAAAAAAATGTGAAAAAGAAGTGATAGAAAAAGAAAGAAAAAAAATAGAAAAGATTTGAAAAAGAAAAATAAATAAAAAAGAGTATGGAATAATTTTGTGTTAATAAGTGATGTGTGTTTGGTGTAACACTTGGAATGAAGAAGAAGTTTGATTGAAATTCTATTGTTTGAAACTTTGTGGAAGTAATTACTCCCGTAGGTTTAGGAAAGTTTTTGTTTCGATTATCTTGAGGACTTATCACTTGTTTGTTTACCCAACCACATTACAATCTGTTGCAACTGGTTTATAAATTAGAGTCGTCATCCTTAATTTTTATCCTAAAGGAATGGAGTATAAAAAAATAACCCTAAAAGTCAGAGATTCTAGATTTGGACTCGGTTCTAGACGAGGGGAAGGTGTTAGGCACCCATTATCTATCTTGTTCACAAGGATACTGAGTTTAGAAGCGTGATCTTAGGAAATAGAGTTTTTAATTATTATTGGGGAAAAAGATTTGAATTTTATTTAGCGGGACTCGCCATGATTTTGATCGTATGCCTACGTATCCTCCTAGGAGAAATCAGAGTCTCATTTCGTAGTTCGCTGTGTTTAGTTTGTGTTTTTTTTATGGATTGCGTAGAATTGCTTTCGAATTAACCTTGAACTTTGTCTGGATTGTAAATTGAGTGATCGTAGACGTAGTTCGTAGTTTGATTCGAAGGCGATGCTATTTAATCCATTTTGAAAATGTTTTTGAATTTGATTGTTATGCCAGTAAAAAAATGACTTGAGATTGGTTAGTTGTTTTAAGACGCAAAGCGAAGGAGTCTGATATAGTCTCCTCATCACGTAGTCAAATATTTGCCATGTGTCGCTCGCGGACATAGTAATTTTTTTAAGTGCATGAGTAAAAGAACAATATAATGCCATAATAAAAATATATATTTTTTGAGTTGAAAATAATTAACTTAATTTTCAATAGCAAATAAATATAATATAAATATAAAAATATAAAGAATAATATTTATAATAATATAATAAAATTAAATTAAATCAAAATGCGGGGTTGCAAAATTAACTGACATAGTAAAAATGTGGGGTGTGAATAACATGGGTCTGAATTCAGATATTGAATTCTGACCCAGAAGGCAGGGGGTATGATTATTAAAAAGATGTGTGAGTTTAGTAAAAATCTATAATTCAAGTCAAATGAGTATTCCTAAAATATAATTTATTTAATAGAACCATTCTTCTAATTTAATATCTAATAACGATGTTTGGAATTTAAAAATAATGATTACACATATATGAACTTATTATTGGGGAGTCTGAGAGAGTCACAAGAGAGGGAGATGTCACATCTCAACTCAAAATTTTAAGGTGTTACATAAATAAATTCTCTCTCTTATAAATCCAACATTTCCTCAATTTATAGACTATAACCACTCACACTTACACCCAACACTTATTACATACATTATACAATGATGTCTCTACATAATTCAACAAATTCACAAACATTTCAAGACAATCAAAAAAATTTCTTCAATTACATTTACAAACTCTTCGACACAATCACATTCATGTATATCTGTTTCAAAATCAGTAGGTATATATCTGGTATATCAAACTTCAATTAGCATGTGCGCATGTGTTTATATGTGTGCGTGTGTGTTTTATTATTTTTCACAATGTACTTTTTCAAATGGTGAATGCCTACTCCCCTATCACTAATATAAATTTGGTGTCACTGATACATTCATTAACATGATTTGTTTCCAACTTTTTCAACACCGAAATTGATATTAGAGCATAATTGTTTCCTCCTGACTTAAAGAAGCTATCTTTCTACAAAGTTATTTATATTCAGATGTTAAGAGTATTGACACAAACAAACCCTTAAGATACTAATGCACACATTTATATCATTATTTGAGACAAACCAAGTTTCATACAAATGCATATCATATCATATAATATAATATCATATATCTAATTAACAGCCCTACAGTTAGTCCTTATTTGACCCTGCTGTCCTGTAAGAACACCAATACGACCCATTTTCTCAACAGAAACAGCAAAGTCTCTGAAAAACAAAATAGGCCACTTGCTATAATTGTTAACCAACGAAGAAGTAATATTATCACCCAAAAGTGCTTGGTCTGATTGAAGTAACCCATTATTGCTCAAAACATTTTTGTAATATGTGTTATCAAATATATTTGTAGTGACAGGATCCAACGGGGCCAAGTTGGTATTAGAATCAGCTTGATTTGGACATATTTTCTGTAAATTTTGTAGAAGCGACGAATCAAGTGATGGGTCGGGTTTACCAGAGCCACCAAAGTCGAAGAGTCTTGACTTGAATAAAACACATTGAGCAAAGCCAAATGTGTGTGCACCTGAGAGCACTGCTACATCCTTCTTTTCAAGCCCTTTGGAAACAAACTTAGCAGTAATGTTTTCAAGAGGCTCAAAGGGTGATGGCAAGTTATTTGCTTCACTCTCATTCGCTGTTGTGCTATCTCTACGACCGAGAGGTACAGCCCAAAATGGCCCTTTACTCTGAAAGTAGAGAAAACTGTTTCGAAGTCATAATCAAACATGCAATAATTAAAATAATAGTTAAAGTATTAGTGAGTTCTTACTAGATATATAGCATCTCTTGCTGCTAGAGTAAGTATATCAGCACATGAAACTGTGGATGGACAAGCACTCTCTAAATCAGACTTTATTTTGTCTATTACATCGAATCCTCTTAACGAATTTTGATTAGGCAATGCATTTTTCTCTCCTTTTAGAGTGTCTGTATCATCGAGTAGTACTGATCCATCGCATCCCTAAGTAGCACACAAAAATGAAACAAGTTAAACAGGTGACGATAATAATATAAATTTCGTTGATGATTCAACTCTTTCTAGTAAGTAACCAAAATATAAGGACTAAAATTTTGAGAGGTTAGTTACATTGACAAAACAATCATGGAAGTGAAGGCGCAAGAGAGACGCTGCAATTCTTGAGTCATTGGCTATAGCTGACAAGATATTGGATCTAACAATTCTGGTAAGGCTTGGACAAGTTCTGTCATAGAAGTTGCAATTAAGTTGAGAGTACACAAGGGATGTAAGAAAGACCAGACAAAACATAAAGCCAAAAACATGTTTGTTAGAGACAGACTCCATCAGTTGAAGCTTGTGGAGATTAATTTGTTGAATTAAAAAAGTTAATTAGAATTGTGCGTGATACTAAGTTGTAAGATGAAACACTTTATAGAACGTAAAAGAACCACTTGTTAGTTGTTAATTTTGTTTTTATAGGGAGTGGTAGAGCCACTATATTTGTCCTTATCTATAGATGTTTGGTAGAAGTCTAAAGTTTCTGCTCTAAGTGGCAAGGTGATGCAGTGCATGAGAATATTAAAAACAGTCCCAAAAGTATAGTGCATAGTTTGCACATGATGTACAAGGGAGTTTGATTGAAAGAGTGTTGTTTTATTGTCTACTACTTGTCCATGCACTGCCAATATACCAAGAAGCTTTGCACTTTCATGAGGATAAGTGTTGGGCATTGTTTGGACTTACTAGGAAAAGAATATTTCAAAGAAGAAACTGTAGATATATACCGAAAGTGTGTGATGTTTCATATGTGTGAATGTACTAGTATTTTGGTTTAGGTTGTTAGTCAAACATATTATTTCCTTTAATAACATGATGTTTAAAATTAGCCTAATAATAATTGTATTGTAATATCTATTTTAATTCGTACAAGTTAGGAATTAGGTTATATTAGTCATTAATAGTTGTATTATATATACAAGTGACTACACTGAAAGAAAGACAAGAAGTTAGAATTGTTTTATATGATTTCAGTGTTGGGTTAAGGATTGCAATATGTACAATTGAGTCAAACCCACGTTAGGCGTAAGGATGGGTGTTGACTATATATGTATCGATGTTGTTGAAGTTTGTTTGAAATTCCACATTACTTTGGTTGTCAGGTTGTTGAATTTATAAACATATAAGGAGAACTTCACCTTTGAGCTACCTTTTGAGGGATAAGATCCAAGTATATTTAACATGGTATCACGTGTCTCTTGTTGGTGTTAATCTTGGTCTTCCATGTGTTTTTGGTTCACGGTCTATTTCAGCCCTTGTTTGGGTTCATGTTTTTTTCTTGCCTCGTCTTAGTTCCTGTTTTGTTTTTCCGTTTTCGTTCGCCCTTGTTTCGCCATCTCGTTCTTCAGCTTCCATCTCCGTCTCCTTCTTTCTATTATTGAGTTCTCTATTTTTTTATGGTTTGTTGTGGTATTCATCATGTTGGCAGAGAAAGAAAAGGAGTTTTTTGTGTTCGTTTTACTGGCAAAAGTTATGTAATATGGGAGTTTCAATTCAAGATGTTTGTGAAAGGGAAAGACTTGTGAGGCTATATAGATGTCACCTCCTTTGCACCTAGTGCCGATGCTGCTCTGGTAGCATGGAAAACAAATGGCACTCAAGTAATAACTTAGATTCTAGCTTCAATTGACCCTCAAATGATTAATAATATGTGTCTCTTTTCTACTGCTAGGGAAATGTATGACCATCTGAAGTGCGTTTACAATCAAGATAATGTCGCTAAAAAGTTTCAGTTGGAGCTCGACATTACAAAATACCGTCAAGGAAATCTCCTGATTCAATACTATTATTTTAGATTTCATAATATGTGGGTTGAACATTAGACTATTTTAGATGTCAATTTTTCTTCTAGCTTATTCATTGTTGTTCAAAAAAATTACAAGGTTAGTAAGAAAGATTAATTTCTTATGAAACTTAGACAGAAATTTGAAGCAACATGTGCAACTTTTTCGAATCAAAGTCCATTTCCTACTTTAGACGTGTGTATTGGTGAACTTCTTTGTGAGGAGCAAAGTCTATTGACTCAAGGGGCCATGTCACATGACAAATTCACTGATGACGTTGTTTTTGTTTCCTATTCATTCGAGATTAAAGGGAAAGGTCGTGATATGAGAAAAATCCAATTTTTCTTCTGCAATCAGTTTGGTCATATTGCGCGTAATTGCAATAAGAAATTGTCACTATTTCAAGCAACACTGCCACATCATCAAAGAGTGTCCAACTAGACCCGAGAAGAAATTGGTGCATGCATTTCATGTTGCTACTCCTTCATTGGCTCAATCTTCTAGTCCTACAACTTCCACTACTACTATTTTGACTGAACGAAATGTCCAACAAACGGTATTGTCTACTCTTTCTGCCTTGGGCATTCAAGGTAAGTCTAATGTTGTTTCTCATTCTACATATGCTGTTGCTTAACCTTGATTTGTTGATTCCTGAGTTTTTAATCAATGACTAGTTCCTTTATAAAGTTGCACAACGTTCGCACTTACAATGTCACTTAAAACATTAAAATTATCGATGTAAATACTCTATCTATTTTTGTTGTAGGAAACATTAATTCCTCATTCTGAGATATGTTTGATTCTCCTGGACTTGTTTCGAATTTAATTTCGGTTGGACAATTAGTTTAAGATAATTTTAATTTTAATTTTTCTTGTGATGGTTGTTCTGTGCAAGATCAATCTTCGAGAAAAGTGATTATGAGGGGGCATAAAGTGGGAAGATTCTTTCTTATCCAATTTTCCATACCAAAATTTTATGTTTTGCTTGTAGTAGTGGACCAAATAAATTTGAGGATTGACAGAAATTTAGGTCGTCCAAATTTTACTGTTTTGTCTCATTTATTGAAAAATTAACTATTGAATAATAAAATTTCTCTTTCTAATTCCTCGTTTGATTGTTCCTTGAGAAAACTTGTTAAATTCTGGCACACATAAAATCAGATGTCAAGACTGATGTCTCAACACACAAGCACAATATCACGATAAATATTATGACATCTGCTTACAGAACATAAACTTTTACCAAAATAAAACCATGCAGAATTATAAAGTGCAGAAGGTAAAAGAACACAAAAAGTTGTTAACTCAATTCGGTGCAACTCACCTACTCTGATAGCTACCAAACCAGGAAGGAAATCCATTATCATTAGTATTAATTTTAAGCCTAAACAATCTTAGTTTACAACTTATCACTCAATCACTATCCAGTGCAACTTCTACCTAGACATCTCTTAGATATGAGAAATCACCATCTCACTTCCAATCACCGCAGTGATATCTACAGCCACAATTCTATTAACTAGAACCTGCAACCACAACCCCAATGACTAGAAAATACAGCCACAAACCACTGACTAGAAAATACAATTGAAGATCACACTTCAATTAGAAAAGCTCAAACTCTCTTGCTTAAAAGCTTCAAGAGTGAGACAATAACTTGACAAACTTTTCAAGTAACAATCGGTCAACTCAAATGCAACAAGAGATACATGAGGACATACAAATAAAAAAACAGAAACCCCTTGATGAACCCTCAAAACCTAAGACTGAGAAAAATTGACTTTCCCTTATTTTTTACAAAGTTCTTAATGAATTTAGGTCTAGGTAGTTTCTTTAAATACTCTTCAGCAATTCTCGGGCCTTGATTCTTCACCCATATATTCCTTGTTGCACACGTTGAGCGCTGCACCAATATGTGCATAAGTATCTCCTTAAATCTTATAACAAAACACAAGGTTTCTTAAATTATCTTAAAGCCCAATTTTGGTAACCTGTGTACAGCTGGAGATAAATCAATTGTTTCAGATTGAATATTCTTAACCTGTGAAAAATCAGTGAGATAAAATCAAAAGGAATCTTACATAATCAATTTAAATCTATCAAGAAAACAATACAACATGTACTGATGTTTTGATACAGGATGTTACAACATCTGCCTCCTGACCAGCATGTTAAAAAATCTTCTAAAAACATCATGCTGCAAACCATGTTTTAGCAAAATTCTGCCAATCGTTAAACCATGGTACTAACAATCTCCTCCTTTGGAAAATTTTGGCTAAAACACTCTTAGCACAAAACTTTAGGAGAGAGAAATAAAATCACAAATAAACTGCATAAATAATATATCATAGTTATAGCAGCTACACAATCAGACAGGTACAATACTCCCCCTGTCACAAATAATAAGTTCTCCCCCTCATGGAAAAACCCACATCAAAAGAAAAATCCAAAAGAATTCTCAACCCACACTAGACAGGATGTTGGAACATCTGTTAAGACATCTTCATCTGATACAACTGACTACATCAGTAGCAGCAACAGAAGCACACACTAAAGCAGCAACATGAAACATCATGCTCCCTCTAAATTGTTGCAATTATCATGAAGCAACCATAAACAACACAACACTTTACTCCCTTTTTTAGCCAAAATATTGACAAAAAGAAATAGAGTAAATGTAAATAATAGAAACACAAATTGCAAGAAAACATATTGCACATAGGCAATACAAAAAAAATGGAAGCACAAGTAAAAGCAAAAGTGGAAACAAACACTAAAAACAAGCACAAATAAAGGAAACACACTATTACATATGGAAGTAAACAAACTAAAAAGCATCAGATGGAAGCACACATGTTTTTGGAACCTAAGGCTCCTAAAAAATGCAGACACCAAGGTCACCTCTAAACTTTTCAAAGTGATTTGCATCCAAAGCTTTGGAGAAAATATCAGCCAGTTGTTTTTCAGTAGCTATATGCTCCAGAGTAATCACTTTATCTTCAACAAGATCTCTGATAAAAGGATGATGAATGTCAAGATGCTTAGTCCTGCTATGCTGAATATGATTTTTTTAGAAATATTGATAGCACTAAGATTGTCGCGGTATAATGTCATAACATCTTGATTGACATTATATTCCTTCAGCATTTGTTTCATCCACATCAGTTGTGAGCAATTACTCCCAGTTGCAATATACTTAGCTTCAACTGTAGACAAAGAAACACGGTTCTGTTTTTTTCTAAATCAGAAATTTGGTTAGTTCCTAAGAAGAAACAACCACCCGAAGTACTTTTTCTGTCATCAACAATTCCTGCCCATCTGCATCACAATACCCTACCAACATAGAATTTGATCCATGAGAGTAACATGACATAGTCACTAGTACCATTGATGTACTTAAAAATCCTCTTCACTTGATTGAGGTGACTAGTTTTTGGATCAGCTTGATATCTTGCATAAACCCCAACAACAAAGGTGATATAAGGTCTGCTAGCTGTAAGATAC